AGGCAGGAGGATTGCATGAACAAAGCCAGGAGTTTGAGACCAGCCTGGGTCATGTAGTGAGACCCTGTCTCTAGAAAAATAAAAATTCAATCTAGCCAGGTGTAGTGGCATGTGCCTGTAATCCCAGCTGCTCAGGAGGCTGAGGCAGGAGGGTTGCCTGAGCCCAGGAATTTAATGCTGCAGTGAGCTATGGTTGCACCACTGTACTCCAACTTGGATGACAGAGTGAGACCCTGTGTCTTAGAAAAGAAAGCAAAAGGTAATGACATTTTGACACTAATAAAGTAGGAAGGCCATCCTTTTAGAGTAAGGGATAATCACCAAGGTATTCTGTGCCTGCAGGCTGAGGAGTAGGGAAAGGAGGTGAACACATGAGCCATCCTTGTCTCCAGCCCCATCCTCCTGTGCATGTTCCCCTCAGATCTCCCAGGCTTCTGCTCTCCAAGCTGCTAATGGCCTTCGTGAGAGTAGTTTCTCAGTCTCCTTAAACAGACCAGACACCTGCCTGACTGGCAGAGGAGCTTGTTGGAAGACTGTTCACTGCCTCATTGGCACCAGGTCCCCCTTTGTTCCCCGAGCACTAGACCTGTGTACCGGCACGTAAGCCTTCCATGAGCCTTTTTCTGAGTGATTCTATTTATAAATGAAGGGATTAGATGAGTTTTAAACTCCACTTAAGCTCTTCTTGTCTTCTCTAGGAAGGGATTTTACATCGTTACATGTGAAAAGCAGGGGCTTTGGAGTAAGACTGCCCTGAGTTAAACCCTTTTCTCTACCACTTACTGGCTATGAGGCTGTTCTCTCTTGAGCTTCAGTTTTCTCATCTCTAAGACTAGGGGGACAATAACCCCTACCTCTTAGGGTTGCCGGGGTGAAATGAGGCAATGGATAAAACATTCGATCCTTTAACAGTGATTGGAAAGCAGTGTTACTTTACGAGGTTGTTCCCTATAATGTAGTTAGAACTTGCACATACAGACTGCTCAGTAAGTGATTGCTGTTATGCCAGTTAGAAATAAGAAGGTAGGATGCACTGAGAGAACTTGGTCCAAGAGCTGAAATGAGAAAGGTAAGGATTCATAGCACGTTTTCCCAGATCATTGGCACCTTCCACCCCCAGGATCATCTCAGATGCAAGCTGTTGGAACCATTGCTGAGCCGGCTTTGGAAGCACTGATTGAAGACTGTCATAGTGCAGAAACTTTGGGTAGTGAAGCTGGAAAACTTTGGATTAAGTGCTGGTTCTACTGCCCAGCAACTCTGGTGTGCCATCTCTCTGGGCCTGTTTTCTTGTGAAAACTGGCCAAATCCCTCCTCACAGTAATCATGGAAGGGCACTACAGATGTCATTTGCAGGTTTATCACATCACTGCTTTTCATTATGCTTAGCAGGTGTGACTTTTGCCCTCAAGGAGCAGGCTCTGGTCCGAGGTAGGGGTTCCACAGAGAGGGATAAGAGCCCCAGTGGAAGCTGGTAGCCTGGCAGTCAGGCACAGCCTGAGCGGTGAGGGAGCTGAGATATGGCATCTGCTAGGATGAAGCACCACAAGCCTAAGGCCTCTCCAAGGGCCCACTGGGACTGAGACCTACAGCCTTTATTGTGCCCACAGGTACCTGGGAGGGTCTGCTGCTTAAACTCAGAACCGTGTGGTCTGAGCCATTCCTGTTCATAGCTACAGAAAGCGCCTCCATTACCTTCGGTGAGCTTACTGTGCTGTTAGCTCCCTGGGAAAAGTGCTCTTTCTGTGGTGGCCGACGGGAAAAGAACCCCAAGCCAAGATCCTCTCCCCAGTGGAGAGCCCTCTTCTTCCTTCTTTGTGCCCACAAGAGCGAACCAGACTCAGACCTGTAGGCTGTTCTGAGGCTTCCAACAGGAGGACCAGAGCCAGTGCCAGGGCTAGAGGGAGCAGGGAGGAGCCTTTGGGAAATGTCAGCTTCACTTCCTGGCGTGGGACGCAGTGATTACAGTGGTCATTACAAGCTGGTGTCTGAGGAGTTCTTGCAGAGTGCTGTGCTGTTGGTCTGACCTTCTGCAGTCACACTGTGTTCTGCTAGTTTATTATGTAAAAAGGAACCTCTGGTTTCTGAACCTGCCTCCTTGCCAACACTGCTTTTTAGCTGCCACGTGCTACCTTCCTGCTGATGGGCATCCTTTTCAGGAGATCGTCCGCAGGGAGGGAGGAAAGGAATGCCGGAAAGTCATAACTGGTCCCAAAGATTATTTTAGCACATCACATGTGGCTGTATAATTTCTCGTCGTATTTCACAAGGTCTTAATGTCTCAGATGGTAAGGGCCTACCCTATATACCCTCTTCCCCCATCTTCAGGTTGATCTGCTGTGTCTATGGAAAGCACAGAGAGAAAGCAATAGGCATGCTAAATAGAGCTAGAGTTTGAGATGGCTGCTGAATCATCAGGGAATATGTTTATGATGATTTTCTTTTTCCAAGTCAAAAACTGGGATACAAAACCCACTAGTGGATTCTTTTTTAGGGGAATTAACAGACCAAGGAATAGAAGCAGCAGAGTGAAAGACTGGGCCGGAGAAATCCTGTATTTTCTTTCCAGATCAGCCACACCCACTTTCTGGGTCACCCGCTCCTTGGGCTGGTAGAGCAGGGAGTCACACAGTCTAACCTCCTGTTTGGCAATGTGGAAGCTCTCCTTTTTCCACTGGGCACGGAAGAGTCCAGACGAGACCCCACATCTGGACCTTTCTATTGGAGCTGCCGGCTTTTCTTGTTCTTTGAAGTACCCTATGTTTCCTATTAAAAAGTGAAATGTGACATTGGTGTGTGTTCAGTATTAAAAATCAGAAGTGGGGGAAGAGGAAAATCCAGTCACAACAAGCACAACATTTTGGTGTATTTCTTGTCAGATTTTCCTACACTGGGGGGTTTGTGTTTTTACATAGTTATGGTCATGCTGTGTGCTACACAATTTTGTAGCCTACTCTTTTCCACCTACCCCAGGGAAGTGCTTTTGTCATAATCTTCAAAATGTCACGCAATGATCTCATTTCCTCTGTAGTATATCAGTGAGTTGAAGGATCATTTGCTTACTTAATCCTTATTTTTGGACTTGTGAGTTATTGCCTTGTAATTTAAATATTTCAGTTAACTTCTTTATCCATAAAGTTCTTTTCATATTTAGGTTTATCTGTTAAGCTTGGCTTTCAGGAGTGGAATTTCAGGGAGCCACCAGTCTAAACACCTTTGAAGCCCTAAAAACAGTGCCAGACTACCTTCCAGAAGCCTTTTCCCCTCCTGCAGCAGTGTGAGGGGCACCCTCACCAGCAGGAAACACTTTTAATGGTTGCATGGCTGAAAATCATGGCCTGTTCAGATTTAACACGTTTATAGTCTCTGGTTGGGGACAATTGGCTAGGAAGGGGTGGACTCATTGAGTATGTTCGTACCTGCTATGGGCCAGGAACCTGAGTCATTCCACTCAGACCTCAACCAAGAACGCCCAGTGGTCAGAGGAAGAAACTGAGGCCAACAGGCAGTAAATTATCCAGTATTGTCCTATCCTGCTGCCTCTTGGGAGGACTAGCCAGGTCCCTTCCCAGGAGCTGAGGACAACGAGCTGGTGTTGTCAGACTGCGCAGGTGGCAAGTCATGGCAGCCACGGTGCTGGCTCTGCCTCACAAAGGAAGCCACTGGGGGATTGCATGCACAAAGACTTGTCTGCTTTGGTCATTCAGGCTGAAAACAGGCACTTTAAAAACTCCTAGATGGGCCAAGGTAGGTGGATCACTTGAACCCAGGAGTTCAAGACCAGCCTGGACAATATGGCAAAACCTCGTCTCTACTAAAAATACAAAAATTAGCCTGGTGTGGTAGCATGTGCCCTGTAGTCACAGCTACTCAGGAGGCTAAGGTGGAAGGATTGCTTGAGCACAGGAGTTCAAGGCTGCAGTGAGCTGTGATCAAGGCACTGCATTCCAACCTGGGTGACAGAGCAAGACCCTGTCTCAGGAAACCTCCTAGATGATTCCATGTACAACCAGTCTGGAGCACTGTTGCCCTAGATGGCCTGCCCTGCCCAGGACAGTGCTATACTTAGCACTGATCCAATAGCTCAGAGTGGGGACTCCCCAAGACTAATCTCTGTGGGCCCTTGTATTCTCGGCCTCCAGTAGAATAAGCCACTGAAGGGCAGACTTCTTGTCTTATACCTGAGGCCTGGCACTAAGGCAGTTTCCAAATAATAGCCAATACTAATAGGATCAGGCACTCTTCTTGGTTTTACGTTTGTTTAATCTTCATAATAGCCTGTGACGCAGTTACAGATGTGAGACCAGGGAACAGAGGACTTAAATTCCCCACAGTCAAGTGGAAGCTCCTGTTTGCTCGGTCACCCGTTCTGGCTCCAGAGCCCTCGTTCTTAACCCCCGCAGTGCACTGCAGCAGACAGTGCAGTCTGGTCCAGCCCTGCCCCTGGGTGTGGGATTCTGGCCCTTCTTATGACCTTAGCAGGTAGCCTGGTTTGGATTCTCAGAGGCCTGAGCTTCACTCTTCTCTTCTGTAAAACAAGACTACTGAACCTAGAGAGGGTTGCTGTGGCATTTATAACCAAGCACAATTAGTCACAAAGAATGGGGAAGAAAGCATGGGTGGAAACAATGCTAGCAGGGTCTGTGGAGACAGACTGTCCAGGGTGGGCCCTGCGGTGTCTTGCTCCTAATAGTACGGGGAAGCCAGGATTCACGATTGGTTTGACAGGTAGAGCCAGCAGGCTTGGGTTCCCAGCTAGCGTCTGCCCCTTAGTCAGTGTGATCTTCGGTAAATTACTTAACCTGAGCCTCAGTTTCCCTATCTGAAAAATAAGCCTGTGTGTCTAGACCAGGGAGGTTGTGAAGCTAGATTTACCCTATCTATTTAGAGCTCTGCCCCACAGAGCCCAGCACACACAACTTCAGTGTTCCTCTGGGTTGGGAGCTGGTGCCCAGGCCTGCTGACCAATGTCCCCTCCTTACCCACTTTCTGTCTTCCAGGTCGATTCCTCGGGACCCACAGTCTCACCACGTCTCCTACAGAGGACAGCAGAGGGTACAGGTGGTGGCTTGGCCGGTTGGCGATCTCCCGACAGCTGGATCTCCGGCAATGTGAAGCTTTTGTTTGGGTTTTCCTGCTTCTTTTGTTTTGCTTTCTTTTTTTCTTTTTCTTTTTTTTTTTTCCTCTTTCCTTTTTCTTTTTTAATTTAAACCATTGAGACTTCAGAAGAGCAGGAAGCAATGCTGTGGACAGGCACCAATTTCTTTAAAGAAATTCAGTGTGGACAAGGCATATGTATAAATTTCAGTTGTACTTCTTGTAAGGGGTTAGGGAGCTATTTTTGGTTTTGTCCTTCACTTTCCCTCTGTCTTCCTTCTTTATCCTTCTCTCAGTTCTACTTATGACACCTCACTTCCCCAGAGAAGGCGTGCCTCCCCATAGGGAATCTGGGGGTTTCTCCTGGAATGGGGCATGAGAACACAAGGAGGCCTCTGGGCCACGCCTCCCTGCCAGATGCAGGAACTCCCGGACTCCTTGGTGGGCTGGCCCTGGCTAGCCCTTGGGCCTCGGAGATGATCAGAGGCGAAGAACCACCTGGAAGAGGAAGGCCAGGGTTTGGCCAGGAGAACTAAGAAGGTCTCAAGTCCAGGCTTTGTTCTGTTTAAGCTATTGGGAGCCCCAGGCCACACCAGGACTTACAGTGGTGGGATCCATTCCTCTTCCACCCTGTGTTGCAGGGAACGGGGAGGTAGGGGTGGAGGGTGACCATCTTGCACTTGCTGACGGTGGAGCAGCCATCCCAGTGCTGTAAGCCTGCCTTTCTGTTGGGAAAAACTGTTGTGCCAAACTGTGTGGAACACAGCTGGGTCTTCAGCAGGCATCTGTCACTACCATGAGGTCAGCACTTCTCACCTAACTGCCTCCTGGATTGTCATCTTCCCACATGTGTCCCGTAGTGTCCACGTGTCACAGAGACGGCCTGAGGCCCTCAGATCTGGTTGTGACTTTGCCATGATAACAGGGTGTCCTGCACTGGCTGCCATTGTCGTGTCCTCACAGTGAAGGGCGTGCCCTGTGTGCCGGGGTCCGTGGTGTCATATGCAGTGACACATAATGTCAAGCGCCATTTCCCTCACCCCTGGAGACTTACTATTAGCTGCCTGCCCTCAGTATAGACGTATCCAATGGGAAAACAGCAGACCTGCCCAGAGCAGGGAGGTGTCGTGGGACTGGGTAGACCCCCTGCAGCGTTAGGGGCCCATTTGTGGGCTCCCCACCTTCAGGCTTCCCCAGCCGTGATGCTTCAGCCCCGCCACCCATGCCTGTCTGCTGCAGCCATCCTTGCACTCTGCAGCGACACTTGCATCTCCCTAGGGGAAGCCTCCCTCCCCCGGGCTGCTGCTCTGAACCCATCTGCTCTCCCCCTGCAAGAAGGAGCAGTGCTCCTGTGTTTTCCCTGTCTGGATTTGCCTGGCCACTCCGAAGGCTTTTCACCCCATTATGGCCACATAGTATAGGGCCTCTGGGGAGGGGGAAGGGAATCCTTTTGTGTTCGTTTTTGTTTTTTGTTTCACCTAAACCAGCATAGGATTGATAGGGGAGATGGTTGAAGGGCATTTCCGTTTCTATGTGACCAAGGCAGGGGCTTTTACCTGCTAAACAGCAATCCTTTGGCCCTGAGAATTTGGGAGCGAACAGTGCATCAGGCCAGGCTCAGCAACGTTTGCTCACATTCTTTCAGCCTTCTCTCACCCCCTTAACACCAAGCTTTCTTCCTTGTGAGCGGAAGGTTGACTGCTATTAGCAGGATCCCACAGGTGATAACCAGGCCCTTCCCTTCCTGGGCCAAAACCCCTTGTGACTGCCTGTCTCTCCTGTCTCTGACGTCTCAGGCAGCCTCCTGAGTGCACTGAGTTGTAGCCAAGAGGATGGGAACAGCAGCGTCCCCTAATTGCAGTGCATGTTCGTTCTCTGCCCGCCACCCTGCCTTCTCTTGGGGGCAGCTGTCTCTTTGTACATGAGCAAATGCGAAAAACAGTCTCCAAACCCAGCACCCCCGTCCCTGGCTGCAGCCCACGCCGTAACATCCCTAGTGAGGCTCCAGCCTAATGAGCCCCTTATTTTCTTTTTCTTCCCTCCCCAGGTCCCGTAGCTCTAACTAAATAGTAAGTTCTTGGAGCCATCGTGCTTCCCCTTTGTTATTTTTCTTGCTATCAGAATAGCAAGAAACAGCACCCCTGTAGGTGTCAGGTGGGCAGCCTGGTAGGGGTCACCAGCCTTCATGCCCCCTCATCTTCCAGTTCTTGCTTACTGGCATGACTTCTTTCCGTAGCGTAAATGCAGGCCAGCTTTTTAGCCCCAAGTGCCTGCCCCTCCTCCTTATCTCTCCCCTGCTTTCTCAAACACTTGCCCACCTCAGGCACTCAGCCGACTCCTCCATGGTAAGAGAACTGGCCATGGCTCAGCCCCACGTAGCACCTGTAGTCTTCTCAGTGCCACTCTCCCCTGTCCCCTTGTGAATCGGCTTCCACTTGCTGTCGCGTCCCCACTCCTGCGTCTTCACTGGGTCTCAGGCTGTCAGTAGCTCTCTGGTGTGTCAGCTCAGCACCGCCAAGTTTGTAGGACCTGTCCAAGTTCTAGGAGTTTTCAAACCTCAAAACGGCAGTCATTCATTCTCCTTGGGTCTGTGGCAAGGATAGCCCATTGGAGGGGGGCTCTTGACCTCGGCTGTTAGGGATCTCAACTTGGTTTTCCCATCAGAAGAATCAGCAGGACAGATTGTAGTGCCTTATTCCATTGTCCTCCCCTGACCAGGCCTCCTGGCTCAGCTGGAAGTGCGTGGCTTCTTTCTCCCTATCTGTGTCCTCTGTCACTTGCTCTTTCACTGTCTCTCTCATTCCCAGAGAGCCACGGGGGAGGGATCACCCTTTCACCCCACACACCCTCTTCCTGAGGGCCGTAGCCAGGTCCACATCTCCCCACCACCACCAGGGCACTCACTTGCAGCTATAGCCCAGGACAGAAAAACTGTGCTTTGGACAGGTGCACACTCTCTGCCTCTTACCTCTAGCCAGGAGGATGCCTCAGTCTGTTCATTCGAGACTGGCCCCGTCTGAACCCTCTCTGGGCACTGGGGACTAAGGTTGCAGGCCTTAGCCTCGTCTCATCCCAGAGGCATTGGGTCAGGAGAATGGGAATTTTTTTCCTCCCACCTGGACATAGTTTGCCCCTGTGGCTGCCTTTCTGAGGGAGTATATTAAATGTTTACTTAAGAAACACCCTGTTTACAGTCAGAGGAGAAACACCCAACACTGGGTGGAGATTTGACTCTGGACAGGGCCTGGCCTCCTTAGTGGCACTGCCAGGGGGGCCCCTAAGTGAATGAGGGCAGAGGTGCCCCGGGCAGGGGCGAACGCCCTCCGCTCCCTCTGCTCCCGACCCTGTGGTGCTAGGACCACTCCCCGCCTTCCTCACAGCCTCCTTGCGCTGCACATTCCCCACCTCCACATTCCCTTCCTCCAAGATCTCAGCTCCTTAACATATCAGTTGTCTCCTAGCCTAGAAAACCAGTGTTTGGAGCAATAAGATGATTATTTTTGCTTGAATCTTTTTCTAAGAGAAGGAAAAGAGCTGGCATTGTGGGAATTTTCTTTTTATGCTGTTAGCTGTTTACCTTCTTAGAAGACATCTTAATAGGATGGATGTCTGGGTTTTAGCCTTGGGGTATCTTTTGGAAACTTAGAAAAGCAGGAGTCAGGCTGCCACCCCCTAAGGAGGGACCCTAACTTTCTGCCCTTGCCTGGTTCCATGTGGCTCCTTCCAGCCCTGCCCACCAAGTGCTGCTCCCACTCGCCATCCTGCCCGTGCGCCCCTCTTCCCCCCACATCTGGGGGCGCTGGTGGCACTTACTCTTGGTGGGTCTCAGACTATCCCTCCCGTTGACTGGTTTTCCCTCCTAGGCCTGTCTGGCAGCCCCCAGACAGACATAGCTCCTGGGAGTCTCGGCCCTGGCAAACTTGGAAGAGCCAAACTGACATTTTTTAGCTCTTCAGGCCACTGGGTTTTGGAGGCAGAAATCCAGAGATACTGGCTCTGCCAAGCTGTCGTACTGGGCTGTGGCACAGCCTTCGAGACAACACAGGTGCATCTCTGATCCTGCCCTACCTAGGCTTCGAGGGGCTTCTGTCTGGAGAAATGCCCTCAAAGGGTAACCAGTAGGTGTGACATTGAATTGGCCAGTGTTAGCATCTACAGCTGTCAAGAGATGAGTCCATTGCCGTTGCCTGCCCAAGGGCCCCCTAAGATTACAGACAGTATCAGCAGGGAGGCCGTCCTGGTGTTTTTTTAGGAGAGCCCACAGGAGGAAGGGAGCCTCTTCAGGGGCACTGGAATCTTTTGTGCCAGGGGCTTCTTTTCATCAGAGCCGGGGAGTACATTTCAGTGACTTCTTAAATATTTGTGTGGGACAGACGAGTGTGAGGGAGGTTTTAAGCCAGGCACAAAGTTAGTTTCAAATACTAGTTAATAAATCTATTTTTCTTCATTTCCTTTTTTTGCACAGAAGCTGGTAATCTAGGACCTACGTGTGAACAACTTTATATGAATATTTTTTGTACTTGGTTTACTTGGGTTGGTATGATACATTATATTTAAGTTCCTTGAACACTGTGGATCCCCTAATGTGTATGAATGACTGAGGCTTTGTAAATTAAGGGACGTTTGTGTGAATAAAGTTATTTGATGGGGTCAAAGAAGCCATATGTGATTTGAAAAAGAGTGTTTTGTGGTTTGTTGCCCCTGTTTGGGAGGGTGGCGAGGCCAGCCCATGCTGCAGCTCCCCATCCCAGCTGGTGGTTGGCGGGAGAGAAGGATCCTTGGCCGCTTCCATGTCCCCATGCTTGAGGAAGCTGCCTGGTGGCTTTTGACTGGCCTTCCCATTCTACACCTGAGAAACCAGCACTTAGAAGTGCAGGAAGCTGTCTAAAATCGTGCAGCTGCGACTGGGGGATCCTGGATCCAAACCAAACCTGGTCTGCCCTTCCAGGGGGTCCAGGGCCTAAGTAAACATTGTGGGCCCCTCCTCCAGACATCTCAGAAGCCCGCTCAACCCCTAGCCCTGTGGTTCTGCAGGTTCTACCTTTGAGAGTTTTAACAAAGAGCTAAAATGGGTGGGCCTCCATACCACAGCAACAAGGGTGTAAGGATCAAGTTTTGGAAAAGCTTAGCAGAGAAGTCAGTTCCATCAAAGGTCAGAGGTCAGCTCAGTACCCTGACGTTGGTAGCATCCATGTCCAAAAATCAAAGGGGTCTAATCAAGCCATGCCATCCTGGTTGGGTTGGGAATGGGAAAAAGAGCACATAGCCCATCTCCCTTTCTGCCTGGGCCAACAAAAGCCACATTCCATGAGAACCAGGGACTGGAACCTATGAAAAGCCAGATGTTTTTACGACCATCGTACTGCATAGTAGGTGTGATGTGTGCACCTCTATGCGTAAGAAAACTAAAACCCAGAGAAGTCAAGACTGCTGGGTGAGTGCCAGGTGGGCTGGGGGAAGAGCTCCTGCCACTTGCCAGCCGGGACAGGTAACTGAGCCTTGCTGAACATCTACTTCCTCAACGACAGTGGGGGTGATGACAGCTACCTTCAGACAAGTTGCAGGCTAAATGAGAACCTAATATTAGGCCCAGCACATAGTAGGCACTCAAATGGTTTTTTGATTTTCCCAGAGACAGGTTTGGGATTCTCCCGGAGTCTGCTGAGCACTGAGCCCTGACTCCTGGCATTGTGCAGCCTAGTCTGGTGAGGGTTAATGTTTGCTGTGAAGCCCCTCATTCAGGGGCTCTCCCAGGGAGACCTGGGGAACCCAGGAAAAATAAAACTGCAGGAGGATGGAGTCAGGACGTAGGAATGTGTGAGTTAGAGGAAGAGATAAGACTGGCTTGCCTAATCTGCGAGTGAATAAACTACATTCCCGGCCCAAGAGTTGGTGTCCAGTGGCTGCTGGGGATGGGGCTTCTAGAAAGGGATACTTCTGTCCTTAGCCTGGGTGATAACCTGAAACTTGAAGGACAGCCCACAAATTTGTTTTCTTATTAACAGATTTACTGAGAGAATTCATCTTTTAGAGAGTACAATTCAGTGGTTTTTAGTACATGTACAAAGTTGGGCAGCCATTACACCAGCTAATTCCAGAACATCTCAAAAAAAAAAAAAAACCCATGCCCACTAGCAGTCACTTCCTAGTCCCTCCATGTTTTTAATTTCCTTGGGTATATACCAAGCGATGGAATTACTGGGTCATATAGTCACTGTTTAGTTTTTTTGGGACCTGCCAGGCTTTTCCCAAGTGTCTGCACCATTGTCCATCCCCACCAGCAATGCACTAGGGTTCCTGTTGCCCCACATTTTTGCTATATTGTCTTTTTTATTATAGTCAATTGAGTGGATGTAAAGTGGTCACAAGTTGTTATAGGCTAGGTGTATGCCATTGTACTACGGGTTAATAACGGATAAGGGGAGAATGGACAGTAGATGCTTTAGACTCTTGACCCCAGACACTGATGGATCCAGCAACTGCTGGGGGCATAACCTGTGCCTAGGAGGGTTAAAAGAACACAACTGGCTCTGCTCTTTACTGGGTCTTTGAGGCAGATTACCTTTCTGACTTTATTTTCTCATTTACAAAGTAGTAAATACCCACTTCTCAGGACTAAAGGTTTTTCCTGCAAAATGCTTGGCGGGCACCCCTTCAGTGAGCATCTCCTTTCCCTGTGTCCTATGGAGTTAGGGCAGGGTTCAAAGATGAATGGTGAGGAATGTGGGATGTATCACTGTAATATGGGGTCTGAGTGTGTCACCCAGACCCTGGAGGGAAGGATCTGGAATACAGAACCAGGCCAGTGTCCGTGCCAGTGGAAGAAGCTAGACATTCGGGCCCTCACTGATCCTCTCCTAAGCCGCTGCTGGCTGTCCTTCCAGCTCCAGCCTCTGCCTTAGTTGTTGGATTAATACCCACTCCCAGCCACCTACTCAGTGCTTCTGAGTCAGACAGGCCTTGCCAGCAAGGAGCTCGTGGCCCACGGAAGGGGAGTCAGAAGACGGGTACATCCTCATATCATGCCAGGTATAACAGAGAGGGAAGCTCCAGGGGCTGTGGAACATGGAGAAGGCTCCATTGCAGGGAGCCTTCTGGAAGAGACGAGGTCTAAAGGGCCACACTCAGTCCACCCTGTTGCCTGACCTAAGCCTGCCCCTCTCCAGGCCATGCCACAGCCCCTCAACCTGCAGTGCCCCCAGACAGACTGCTCACCACCCATTGTCCTGAGGCGTGGTGGGCATGGCGCCCTCACCCTCTTCGAGCCTTTCAACTTGGAGAGCTGCAGGGTCTGCTGGCCTCCCAGGGAGTCTTTACCTCGCGATATCTCACCCTGAGAATCCAAAAGAGTTCCTGAGGCATTGAGCTCCACCCCTCAATCCAGTCTCTAACTAACAGATTTCATTTTAAATCATCAGAACAGATCATGCTGTGGCACAGGACACTGTAGGCTCCTATTATGCCTAAGATATTCTCCAGACCCTCCCCACTCCGTGGCCTCCCAGATCCATTTCCTACCCAGTACCCCCTCAGGCTCTGCCTCCAAGCCATCTTGACCTTATTGCTTAAGCACACAAGACACGTCCATCTCAGGGCCTTCGCACCAGCTGTTTCTGCTACCTGGAATGCGTTCTTTCTTCACTGCCTGATACAGGTCTCTGCTCATTTCACCTGAGAGAGCCTTCCTGGCACCCTTACAAAGAAACACCTTACCATCACCACCTCTTTAGCATGGTTTATTTTTATTTATAGCACTTATCACTAGCAGAAAGATTTATATATTGTATATATACACAAGTGTGTATATAAATCTGTGTGTATGTATGTGAGATAGATAGATGGATAGATAAATAGAGACACGCTTAAGCAGTGCCTGAGAAGGAACATGGTAAATGTGTAATATGTATTTATTGCTTGCATATCATATCAGAGCATGCTAGTTCACAACCCCAGTAGAAGAAACTTCCTCGGGTGCCTGCAGCGTAGAGGGCTGTGCCAGGACAGGAATCCAGGCCTCCTGAGCCCTGGCCCACACCCTGTGCCTGGCCTGCAAATTCTCTTCTTTCCTGAGGCTTAGTCACAGTTCACTTCATTCCCGCCAACCCCTGATTAGGAATGAAACCAGCTACTTCAGAAGGAAATCACCAGATGTGGATGATGGTATTATTGGGCTTTGATTTTTTTCACCTGGAAACGGGTCAGCAAACATTTTCTGTGAAGGGTCAAAAAGCAAATATTTTAGGCTTTGCAGGCCATAGGGCCCCTGCTGTAGCTCCTCAGCTCTGCTGTCCTAACACACAGCAGCCATAGACACCATGTAAACAAATGAGCAGGGCTCTGTGCCAGTAGAGCTTTATTTATGGGCACTGACATTTGGATTTCACATAGTTTTCACCAAATTGTCACAAAATATTATTGTTTGTCTTCAACCATTTAAAAATGTGAAAACCACACACCTAGAGTGGTCCAGGGCTTGCTCTTGAATGCTGGCTTCTGGACAGCATGGCCCATGACAGATGGGTTGGGCTCAGGGACTAGTCCACGTGTCAGGTCCACAGGGGGAAGGAGAGGCCATGTGCATGTTGGTGATGGGCAGGCCCAGAGGTTCTGCTTCATCTCCAGCTGGTCCCTTGGCCACAGCTCTGGGTGTGTGGGAGGGAAGTACAGTGTAGGGAGATGGGCATCACCCACCATCTGGTGCGTCCGTGACCTAGAAGCAGCAAAGTACAAAACAGTAATTGGAAAAGGAGTCAAAATACCTGAATCCAGATCCATCATGGCCTCCTATTCATGGCGTCAGAATTGGCAAGTTACCTCCTGAGTCTAACAGCGTGGCGGATTCTGTAATCGACAGAGGGGTCTGACCTCTGCGTTACTAGTTAGTCTTGTGACCTTGGCCATGTTACTCTCTGAGCCTGTTTTCTCATTTATAAAATGGCAATACAAGTACCCACTTCATAAATTTTTCTGAGAATGAATAAGATAGTGCATATATACTACATAACACAATACTTGGCATGCAGTAAATTATTCATAAATATTATCTATTGATAGTATTTTTTAAAAACCAGAAAGGCATCCTGTGAAGTGCTTCTCAAATAGAAGGGCTCCAACTTCAAATGATGTTAAGGAATACTGTGTATTTCCTTCCCTTCCTAGAAGGTGCCGATGTATGCTGACCGCTCTGAGAAGCTCTGCAATAATCTGGTTTCTCAAGCTTCTTGGATCCGTGATGCTTCTACATTGAACACCTATTAACATCTTCTACTTCTAGTGTTTTGGGGGAAATGCTTCAGAGCCCACTTTGGGAGATGCTAAGATCACCTTTGCAGCTCTAAAATCCTAATTCCCTTTCAGAGGACTGTAGCTGCCCCATTCTGTTTCACATGGGGCTAGAATCATTTTCCTCCTGTAGAAGTGTCCAAAACTTGCCTTTGCTTGGTCTACTGGTTCCTTACGGACAGACCAGAATATGAAGAATTTAATAACCACAGTGAGTGCCCTGCCAAAATGCTGTAGGGCCCAGGCATCAACCACTTGAATGTGGTAAGAACACAGAGTGCAGTTCCCCCAGCCAGCAGACCACAGACACTGCCAAAACCCCTGCATTCCTAGTTCCCACATTGGCAGACCCCAGCCACCCTCCAACTAGTGTTTACCCAGTGCCTAACATGTGCA